TATATATATATTTTGTAGTACTAGGGATTAAACCCAGGGCCTCATGCCTGCTGGGCAAGTGTTTTACCTCTAAGCTCAGTTCTAATTTTAAATTTTCAAAGAAAAAAATGTAACCATTAACATTTGGGGGTAGGAGGCAGGGAGAACCAAACTGTTCTAACTTTCACTTTCATATACAAACCCTTGTAGGTCAAAATATCCATCAGTAAGTACCTGTTACTACAACTAACCTATTAAATAAGATCGAATTTTATAGCCAAGCTGATTCTTTAACAGGTTCCCCAAAATACATTACTAAAAAGAATGACCTCCTTTGAAAGACTGGATCTCATGTTCTGCCAGTTTATGTATTTTTAAGAGTCATATCAGATATTCTCTTCCTATTTTAATTTTTATAATATCACTGAAAACTAAGCTGTCAATCTCTAATTAAAAATCTTTGCAACTTTTCTACAGCCAACACTGACTAAAACAGCTCCATAAGAAATGTGTTTTCAATTAGATGATATGTACCCATAGTATGTTTTTAAACCCTCCTCTTTATTATTCTTTAAGTCTGGGATAGCAATATCTTACTTTAAGAAACTGCATTCAAGAGGCTGGAGAGATGGCTCAGCAGTTAAGAGCATTGACTGCTCTTACAGAGGACCCCAGTTCGATTCCCAGCATCCACATGGCGGCTACGGACCATCCTTAACTCCAGTTCCAGGGGAATCCAAAGCCCTCTTCTGACCTCTGCGGCATTGCACAACACGGGTACACTCACATACATGTAGGCAATACACTCATACACAAAAAATAATAAAAATAAAATATTTTTCAAAACCTGCATTCAAAAACCTCTCTACAAAGTATTATTCAAGCCTTTATACTTAGTTTCTAATCTTGAAGCAGGTAGGCTGGTCCAAGCAAAACAGAGTAGCATCTGTCTCAGGAAGGCTGCAAGTGGGACAGGGAGGAGAGAGGCTAGCCACTGTTTACCTGACAGTCTATTCCCTAGACACACATTCAGTAAGAAGCCTGGAGGAGTCAGGCAAGCAGAATCTCTGGCTTCTCTGAAAAGCCTATGGAATCATACCACTCTTCCTCTCTGTATCTCACTTTCCTTATCTTGAGACAACATTCAAACGCCTATACTTCTCAGGACAATCAAATGATGATAAGCTACTCCAAGAGCACCAGGTCTAAGGAAAAGATTGCTGAAAGATACTACAGGATCTCCTGAGCAGTCACAGGTAGCAAACAGGAAAAATGAGGAGCCACGGGGCTGAGGATCAGAGTGAGTCTGCTCTGTACTTTTTTCTTTCCTTCTAGAATAAATCTAGAAAGAAATATAATTTCCTCCCATATATATTTATATACGGGAGGTAATTTTATATAT